TTGCCTTCATATCATATTTTTCTGTTAATTCACTCTCTTGTCCTATGTCCCAAAACCATAGCTTTGTTAGCATCCAATGACTGATCACATTTGAAGGCACTCTGTACAAATCTCACCTCTAATATGATCATGCGATATTAGGATTGTTTTCAAGTAACTTTGACACAGATGATCCTATTGGCAGCCAAATCCAATATGTGATACTACTAAGGACCTTCTCTTATTCCTTTAAATCTAACTCATCTTTCTTTGCCCTTTACTTACACTCCCCTCTCTCTTTCACTTTCCTGGGAGGGTTTCTAAGCAATGATCCTGGAACTTCTGCCCTTATTTCCATAATCATTTGTATCCCTTGAAAATGAAATTTTCACTCCTCATATGACTTGAACCAGGTCTTTTTCATTTTGTTTAGTGTCATTGACCTATCAATATTTTTAAAGTGTAAAACTCCTGTGTTTGTATCATTTTTAAAAAATAAAGAGATATATACGAATTCTAAGCTCTCTTACTTAAGGCCTGAATGTAGTTCATTAGCTTATTGTTTAACAAATACCCACTCCTTCCTCTACTTTGAGCTTTTCAATGTGACTTATTTTGACCAAATGGCTATGAATGAATTTAACACAGCAGAGCCTTCAATTATGATGGGTCATATGGGCTTGAGCCTTGTGCTTTGGCCATAGTGATACAAAAAATATACCCATAATTACCGCTGTCCCAGAAATGGAACCTAGATTGAAACATGAATCAGAGATACTCCAGCCACTCTGGTATTTTATAGCCTGAAGCAGTTGGCCTTAGCCAAAGGGCCAACAGGTACAGGAGAAATAAATACTCATTGTCATATGCCTCTGAATTCTTTTGTCTTTGTTCTTTTTAGATATACATGATAGTACTATTATGCCACTGATTTCTTGATTGTCACACACCAAAACTCATTGATACACATATGGGATAACAGTCAGCTATAGACTGAGCTTCACCATTAACTAGTTGAGCTAGAATAACTATATCTATAACGTGAGAGGTTTAAAATAATTGAGCTCCCAGTTACTTAATGAGATTTAAAATGAGTGATTCTTAAGTATATCACTTTACACAGTGTATTTTCAGAAGATGGGTAAGAAAATGAATGAAATGAATACTAGGGAAAATTGTAGAAAAAAATTTAGCACCTCTCTGATTAAATTTATTTTTAGCTGAAAGAATGAGATTTGCTTGGATGCTGTTCAATATTCTGCCATGTGTCCTGAAAGGAAGAAGTATGTTGGGAAAGAATCAACATGTTTGTGGACTGCAGAGCACCAGGAGGGGAACTTGTACCATGTGACTACATCAACTTTCCGGGAGCCAGACATACAGGTCACAATTAGGCTCTACTCACTGAACTCCCTAAGAAAAGAATATTTTCAACATCTGGTATAGAACAATATTCAACACATAACGAGGAAGAATAAAAAGGTAGAGTGAAAAATAGAAACCAGAAGAGTTCTGAAATGGGAAAATGTTTTTTTCTTTCTCTCTCCCTCCCTTCTTGCTGCTTGTCTTTGTGATGAGTTTAACTTTCACACAGGAGACTTGTGCTTTGCACGAGAGGCTAGGCTGTTCCACATGCAAGGTCCCACCCAACCCTAAACTATCATGATCTTATATAAGATTGAGCTTATTTGAGGCATTCATACATAAGAACCTCTGTGACCCCTTCATTAATGGCAGGTTTCTGAAATCCCTTAATTTACCTTTCTAAAAAAAAGCAGAAATCTTTAAATATCTTTTGTATCTTTAATAGACACTTACATAAAAATTCTCTTTGGCCCTGGAAATTTCCTTTAGTTATTCAATTGCCCTTCGCACATATGCCAAGGAACCATTTCCATAAAAACCATTTATATCTAAAATCAAATTTGCTAATCAGCAAAATTAGTACATTTACTTATAACAAAATTATTTTTGAGCTGAACTTTCATATATAAGCTTGAATTTGTCATTCAGGTAATATTTTTTAAGAAGGAAATGTTCTTATGCAACATGACTAAAATGCCCTGGGGAACTCTGAAATCATTTTTTCATTAAATAGAGCTGAAATTATGTGAACAAGTAGAACATGAGAAAGAAAAGAGGAAAACAAAGTATAGAACACTGGGGAATGAGAAAATAGAAAATAGACTGTCCAAGGAACAGTGATTTGTTCAAGGTTACCCAGTGAGTCAGGAAAAAAGGGAAGAGTGGGGACTATGCCAAGAACCTAAGCATATCCACAGTAATGGCTGTGTGTGAAATCTGCCATTCTCGAGAGATAGTGTATTCATGTTTATTCTATGTGGAGGAAGGCATTTATATTTAAAATTCTCCCAGAGTTTAGTATGTATTACTTTTTAAGTACTTTTAATAAAAAACATAAATACCCAGCTGTTCTCAGCCAAAAGTGAACAAAGTATGATGTCATACACAAAATCTGATTTGATTTCATAACAACCTCTGACGTAAGCCTCCTGATGTCTGCCTTATAGATTAATACGTGTTCAGAAAGACGAAAGGGTGTGCTTACAACTCTCATAGAAATTTAGAAGTTTTCCCCATACCAAGCTACTCAGCATGCCTCTCCAAAGACCTAACTCAAGGAAACACAAAGTAGAAGAGTGTGAAAAAAGTGCAGGTTTTAAAATAAATAAATAAATAAATAAATAAATAAATAAATAAATAAATAAATAAAAATAAAAAGCTCTGAGAAGAATCAAAGTTGATATTTAGGAGAGTGGGAACAGTTTGAATAATTTGTTACATGTTGCTGATTTCACTAGCTACCTAGTTGCCATACCAATTGAGCACATCTGCACAAGATCCTTAGATCTTAGATTGATAATAAACAGTTTCTACATGCGGGCATCTGACAGTTAAACCACAAGAATCCAAATAAAGATTTGAAATAGTATAGATACACTACAGGGAAGTGTTTCTCCTTGCAAAATCAAGACTCTGTGCTCCAAGTCTACTTCTATAAAGCACAGCTTGCGTGCTTTGTTGATGGCTATCATAAAGACTTTAGTTTGGAATACAAATTCATTAATATATACATATATGGGCCCCCCTGTCACAAGGGTATTGAAGCCTCTGTGACAAGATGTCTCCCACCCAAATCTATTACACTTGCTCTCAAGAAGCTGAAAGTAAAAACACAGGGATGAAGGAGAAACATAAGTAGCCACATGATAGGTGTTAATAAAATCTGTAAATTCTGTAGCCAAACTACCTGCATTCACTCCTGGCTCTATCTCCTACTGTGAGCCTTGGAGCAAGTTACTTAACCTCTTTTTGACTTGATTTCACATTGTGAAATAGAGAAATTAATAGTATCTATCTTATAGAATTATTACAATGACCAAACGAGTTAATGTTTATTAAGTCCTTAAAACAATATTAGGCATTAAGTAAACTCAATATGTGTTTGATGAATAAATAAAGCTAGGAAGAGTGGCAGATAGAATAAGGGACATCAGTTTCTTTTAATTAGTTGCTTTCTTTCTTTCTGCAGAGCCCTTAACTTTTCATCACTGAGGCCAGTAGATTTCTACCAGTATGCTTAACCCCATTTCTGTTCTGGCCCAAACTACTCTTGTTCAGAAAGATTTAAGAAGCTCTAGCTGGGTAACTCAGGTGATTCAGCATTAAGTCCTGCTTGCTGTTATTCCTGTCCTGACCCTATGTCCCAGTTTTAGTCACTTGTTCCTGTAATCAAGTTCCAAACTTGTACTCTAATTCTAGCATTCTGTTCCCCTGCGGCTGAGTCCTGGCTGGCAGAACCTGCTCAGGGCCTCCAGTTTTTATGAGGTAAACAACTCCCCAACGGAAGTTTATGGACTAGACACATTTTGTTTGACATACACTGTTTGAACTTTTGAAAAGTGGTTGCCTGTATTTAAAAATTGCAAACATTTATATAAAAATTTAAATGTATAGCTTCTCTTGAAAAATGGGATGATCTGGCAGCACTGGGCCCCAAGTGGCAGCTGTCCCCTTTAGAGGGTCATGTGATTTTTATTCCCTATAGATCCTACTCCTCCTTGATTTGTGTCTATGATTTTGCTTGGTGCCTGAAGGTATTTGAAGTTGGGGTTTAAGTCTGGGAATAGCCCATACTTACCAAGCACTTACTTTGTGCCAGTTACTATTCTAAGTACTTCACATTCTTGACTCACTTAGTCAAAGGCCACAAATCTATACTTGTCCATTATCCCTGTGGCTCTCCTTCCCTACTTCACCCCTACTGTCTGTGGGGGATATGTGACTGTCCCATCTTTCCTGATCACTATCCTTCACCCACCAGCCAGAGCCTACACACAAAGCCTTGCTAGACCTTCCCTACACTGTAGCCCACTGCCATATCCGATCTCTCTTCCCAACCTGATTCCACCCTAGACCTTTGGCAATCATAGTGCTTGTGTTACAGATTCTCAGGCTTCATGATCTGCCTGATTCTACTATCCCAAGTTCCATGCTTCTGTGAAAGCATAGATTTTATTAACTTAGATTAACTATCTTCACAGAACTTCTCCAATTCTTGTTAGAAGCCCAACAAAATCCATCAAATATTACTGATCACTTATATTCTAGGCTCTGTTATATAATTGATTTGGAGTATTCTTTTAGTTAGAAATTCAAAGAAGTTTGTCTATGTCTGCCATGTACAATTCAATCTCTTTACAGAGAACTACCTATCAAAGTAACTATTTAAAAAGAATTGAATTATCTGGTTTATTGTTTTTTTTAAATTTCTCATCATGTGCCCTTGTGCTAACCATGAATTTGAAAGGTAAAATATTTGCATGACAAAGCCAACATTTAACAAATATCAAAAGAAAATTCATGAATCAAAATTCGATACATCATTCCATAAGATTACCTGGATTGGATGATAACACTGATACTGTTTTAAGCTTAAATTCAGCTAATTAAGTTATACCATAGTTTTTAAAGAGAGTCTTAATAAAAATGTTACTTACATAAGGAATCGTGTCCAAAGTATCTGTGTTGACAATTATAGGAGCAGGGCTGGCCTAAAAAAGAGAAGTAGAAAAAATTTTAAATAACAGATATTCTATTCTGAGGCAGATTCTGTTAACTTATTTGACAAAAACTCAAGAAGTAGTTCATGTGGACCTATACAGACACATGCCTGCTGGTGGGGAATAAATAAAATCCTTCACATTTTCATAACTGTCCCAATCTCAAATGCTTATTTGCTATGTTACTACATAATTAAATAAAGTAAACATTCCTATAATTTATATTCACTTCCTCTTAAATTCTATATAACATGGGAGATGGAAATTTGCACTGTGTGAGGTAAAGATTTTTAATACATTGGATGAAAGTTAAAATTTGAAACATCTATTTATAAAATGATTTTGCTGAAGAAATTTGATTACTTTCATGGAAGCAAAAATTAAACCTAAATGAATATTTATAACTATTCTCTTTAAACTGCCTTATGAAATTTTGTTGTATCCTATGCAGTAAGCATTCACTTATTGACATTATACATATACAAAATATATATAAATATATATTTGTCTATTATGTGTGTTGTAGCATTTTTTCCAATTATGTATCTCTGATCATATAAACTGGAAATCCTTAAGAAATTAGTCAGAGATGGCAGAAAATCATTTTGGATATGCTAAACTTTAAAAAAATTGCACAATTTGCTGTAATTCCTTTTAATGTTGAGTGGGAATGTCTATAAAACTGATAGAGGAGTGCTATAAGCCAAGTCATTAGAAAATAAGAGATTGCAATCTCTATTTGCATCACCAATCTGACTTCATGAATATTGAGCAGATCTATCTTTATTTTCTAGTTTCTAGAATTTTCACAGCAACTTTCCCTCCATTCCCCAAAGGATCTTTAATCTCCATTCCAAATTACAGATTTCATTTAGATAGAGGAAATACTCTCATCATGATTAATCGAGAGCTGTCCTATGTGATACGGTGTTTTGGCAAGTGCACAACTTTTGGGACATTTCATTAGCTATGCCCTCTGGAGTTAACAGCTTTTTAATGTCAATCTGTGCCTGTGGAATCCTAATCAAACAGTAGGGGAAAAAAGACAATCCAGCAGGTTTTACAAAACAAAATTCCATGTCTTAACCCCAAACACTGGGAATGGTGAAAATAAACTTGGCCTACATATCTACAGAGTGGGTCAACCAGTTCTTTGTTATATATATTCATAATTATCAATGGGAAGTATCTTGTGGATAAACAGGGGTTTGGAGAAAGATTACACAACACACACACACACACACACACACACACATACACACACACACACACACACACACACACACTAGTGCTTGCTGAGAGATACTTGGTGTAGGGAGAAGGATATGAGGTTTGGAGTCAGAAGACCTGGGCTCAAGGGTGGTTCAGCTACTTCTCAATTGCATGATTTGAGAGCTCAGCAACTTCCTGGTGGTGTGATTCTGGGCCAAGTCCTCTAAGCCTCTCTGACTCATTTTCCTCCTCTGTAGAATGGAAATGATAGTAAATACCTTTCATAAAGGTTGAAGGTCAAAGAGGTGATATATTTGAATGTGCTTCAGAAGCTAAATTTCAAGATTAATGTTAAATAGTATTAATAGTAAGAGTTTCTAAAGATAGATTATCATAAATATATTTGTTAGATGGTTCATGAGCCACTTATCTCAGAGATTTCAATGCTATTTAGTGACTGAAGCTGCACTCAAAGGGCCTAATTAGATCATGTCAAAGGTAATAATAATTGTTGAAAATTAACATGTGTAAGGATATAGATAGATATATCTGCATTTAATCACCAGAAAACCGTATTGATGAGGCATTATTATCACTATCCCTATGCTGTAGGTTAGGAAATTGAGGTTCAGGGGAAATGAGAACTGAAATTTTAATATTGGCCTTTCTGGTATCAAAATCCACTTTTGCCCCATATTAAGCTGCTCCATGATCTCAGCATCTTGTTGGCTGTATCATAAATGATATAAGATCCTTATGCTAGAGTATCATAGAAGACCCAAATCAAAGACTATCCTGAAGGCAACAGAGGCCTCAGGGTACTGCAGTTAGATTTTAAAAGCACTCTTATGAAGCCTTAGTATCTGTTTTTACAATTTTATGTTTCTAGCTGTGATGGTCTCTCTATTTTCTACTTGGTTCCTGTGACTCATGGAAGTAATTGTTTCTTATATCTTTGATTAAACTGAAAACTTTCCAAATTGCTACATATTTCCCCCTATTACCTCATATAACTTTGATCAATAAATGTGTATTAATTTGATTTGGGGATTTTAGCCTATCTTTTGTTTTTCTTCTTACAGATTATATTAATGTAATAAAATAATAAATTTCAGACTTAAAATTTATGTCCATATTGTATTTCATATGCAATGCCATTTAAAAATGTTTCTATATTTATGCTATTTGCCATTTCCTATATGTAAATTGGTTCTTTCCACTAAGACTATATGTTTAAAAATGGACAAGGATCATATACTTCCCCAGAATTCTCCACAGTACTTATATACCCAGAAAAATTTTAGTAAGTACTCAGGAATTCCTGACTAAATATAGCTATAAAGTATAGATGAGGGTACAAAGAAAGATAACATATATTTGCAAATTTTGTTGAACATTTCTGAGATAACCCAAGAATCTCTTATATTACCAAGACTCTACTTTTCCAATATCCAATATTTATTTTTTTCTTTATTTCACCCCCATTACTTAACAAAAATCAGTTTTTATAAAATAATAATAATTTCATAACTGAAGGATGTAGACTCCATGAATCTTGAAGCATAAGATCTAGAGTATATGAAAACCATTTGCCCCCTCTCACTTTTAAAAACATCCAGAAGTCACAATTAATAATTGCACTTCTAAAAGTCAATACAAATGCATGAACCAGCAGGATGCATTGGTTGTATGAACATATACATACATCACACACACCTGACATTGGCAATCCCTGGTAGGAGTGCCAAAAAAGACACCGTGGTGGGCTCATATGAAAAATGGAAAAATGTGCTACACCACTACAGAGCTGTACCAACGTCTCTGGAAATTCTCCCTTTGGTGTGCTGCAGGACTCTCCCACACTTCCAGATTGATTTTAATAGAAGTTCCTTAGAATATTTTAGGTACTCAGTAACACATCTATCAGCAGATAATTAAGATCCAAGTGGTAGCAATACAAAGTATAGCAGAATTCCAAATGTGTACCATGAGTGCATTTTCTCACCAATTGGTAATGTCAGATCTTCGCTTGGTTCAGCTTGGATTTTGTTTCTTTGTTCACTTTTGCAATTATAAGCAATCGTGCCTAGTTTGATCTAGTTTGGTTTCTGAGTCTTAAAATCCAATTTCCTGGTTACTTTGATGGTTCCTTCCAAGCCTTTTCTTAACACTAAATGCTGCTCTGGCACATATGCCCTCTTTCTTCATGGTGGATATCATCTTTAATTGAACCCTTAAATCAAACTAGTGATTCAGCAGATTTCAGCCTCCCTCTTCAAGGTGCTTGTTTCATTTCACTGGAAAGAGACTCATAACAAATCTAAAGAAAACAAAATCTCCTTTTAATCAGAAACTTCAAGGCTTGTCTTTATGTAAATCTAGGCAGGCACTTTTGAAACTATAAAGGATTAAGAAAAGCAATCTTCCTTGGGTGACCCAGACAATAAGATGCAAGTGGTTTTCCTTTTATGTTACATTCTCTTCCATGTGAAGAAAGCCAGTTTACAGAAAGCAAGAAGAATAAAGCTAATCACAGAGAAGCCAAAAGCAAGTGTTGAGAATGCTGATGAAATTTAAATTATGAGATAAAGTTATTCATGAATTCCAGCTACCTTTCTGTCCTTGAATTTCATGGGATACTAAACATTCCTATATTACATCAGCAACTTGGTTTATGCTAGAAAACGATAAACTTCTGTGGCTTGTCATCAAGATAATCCAATAAAATACGATATAATGAATGTACACTTTAGAAAGAATTCATTGATACTGACCATTGATATGGCTGCTCCTTGGTATTGGCCAAGTCCCAGAACAGGGAATGCCTCTGACATAAGTCAGCTTTAGGTCACCAAGCCAAGAACAGTGAAGATGTCTCCTCAAGGAAGATATTGGCAGGGAAGTATAGCATCCGGGCAGCCAAGGGCCACTTTCTGGGAAGTTTATGCCTAGGAGTGCAGACTAACCAGTGGGTAGGTCAAGAGACAAAACCATGGCCTGTGCCTAAACTTTATTGATAAGCAAAATAGAAAAAGAGAGAAACCCACTAGATCATCAAGTAAACTAGATACAACAATCACTAGTGACTAGTAAGGTTTATAAGACTAGGAATTGTGCAGGGATTTCAGCTGACAAGCAAGTAGAAGGCAGGTGGTTTCAGTAGGTAAAATGAAGTAGGAGGAAAAATGTCAAGAATAACATGAAAGATGCTGTTGGAGCTGGTACCCTAACTTACCTTTTCATCCTTATAGTGTAAGACTCCTGAATGGGCAAGACTTTTTTCTAATTGTAGGGAGATAGGCCTTATAAATGACTTTTATATTTGTCATGGCATGATGATTAGAAACAAAATGGAAGGCACCAAAAGTTTTAAAATGAGTCCTTTGCCTCTGTCTGCTTCTCTTTCTCCCTGATCCCCTGCTCTCCCATTCTCTGTATGTATGTGTGGGCTGGGGGGAGTGCGACCCCTGCCTCCCAGCAAGCACTGGAGGTCCTAGAACCTCAGGTAAGTCATCTGATTTAGTGTAGCTACTACAAGACAGCATGCAAACCCTTTCAGTTTCACAGTTCAAACATACGTATGGTAGACAACAGCATGACCCCTCAGCAGACTATTTCCCTGATTTTGGTCAAGGAAGTAGAATATTGGAGTTACATACTCTATCAGGTCTGAAAAAAACCTAAATATTAAGCACTGAATTGGATATGCCAAGGTAGAATCCAAGATAACTGTGTTTTGTTAGCTTTTTTCACTAACCCTCCATCATGCTGACCTAGTT